CAGGAACTGCTGATGATTGTTTTTTTACAGGATAATTCATTTAATTACCTAATAACAAGCACTTAAGTCCTATTATTATTCCTATGGGAGAGGACAGTAATTTATACACTCTAGTTTTTCTCTTTTAAATTACTCACTATTCTGATTCTCTACTTGTCAGCGGTATAATTTCTCACACAGTTTCAAAATTTTTTTAACACTTGTTCTTACATCAATTTTGTGATATTTGTAAAGGCTTTCACCCCGTACAGCAACACATTAGTTTCAGTGATGTAAGGATGAACTGTGAGGAACACTTACTACATCTGAACGGGACTTGGACAGAGCTATCTGTAAGGTATCATTTTCTTTGGTGAAGAATGTCAGAAATGTAAACATACAAAAAATAAAGGAGTTCAAACCTGGTGATGATTTTTAAGGACAAAAATAGTACTACTAAATTAAAAAAAAAACAATATAAATGTCAGCATTCTGAAATAAGCCATTGTTTTATGATCCACAAAACTTTGTAAATTCTAATATATAATATTTGTCATATATTTGAAGATTTTTCACACTTTATTTTTACTGACTTATGAAAACATCAGTTTCTTTATGTGAGTTTGCGGAAATAATTTAGTTTTCCATACTCTGTTTTTCTTAGCTACTTCCCACTATCCCCTTTACTAATACCCATATATGATTCTTTTGGAAAATACATGCAATCATTTTACAAACTTAAATATAAACTCCTTTAACTACTGAAGTTTACTTTTTAAAAGAAATAGATAGTAAGAAAAATTTCTACAACCGGTGTCCTTTACTATACATTGCATCAGGACATCCTACTCTCTCACTCTTTCCAACAAACTAAAGTTGAGATTCTTTACCTGAAGACTTAGTATTTTGGCTCCAATGCTGTTCTTTGATTCCTTATAATACTCAACCTGATATAATCTACTCCTCTACATTAGACAATCTGAAGTTTTCAAGCCGACCCACACCTTTTCATGTAACTCATGCTTTCCTTTAAGCCTACAATGACTCTCCCCATTTCATCCTCTAAAACCCAATACTACTTTCCCCAGGAAACACTCCATTACACACCACGGAGACTTTATCACTCCTTGCACTCCTCTGTACTTATCTCTTTTATTTTCTCAGTTTAGATACTTTGTAAGTTAAGAGCAAGAGTGCTCACCTCCAGCCACCTTTGATTGTTCTCTGTATTTCCTACATATGGGAGGTTCTCAAACAATTTTTTTTAATTTTTAATCACAGTACTTCAAACTCAGTAGGTTGCCTTGTTCTTTCCATGAACAGGTGAATTGTAATGCAAGAACTATACTTAAAATGATAAACTCCTGCCATTTCGACAGTATGGAGGGGATTATGTTCAGCAAAATAAGTCAGAATAAGTCAGAGGCAGAAAGATAAACACCAGATTACTGCAATCATATATGGAATATAAAGAAATAAAACAAAGGAACAGACAATACTAAACCAAAACAAACTGTAGAAATCTGTAAAATAGAAGGAGGAGAGAGAGAACATAGTTAACTGTGGTGAATTACATAAAAGTGGGATCCTTTAAGACCTTAATCAGTGTAAGCATCTCAAACACAATAACATCACATATCCTACTGTGAGTCTGGAATCCTAAGTATCAGAAATGGTGTTATCTAAGAAATAACAGTAATACATTCCAAAGCTATCTTTGTATGGATAATCATTTTGACCCAAATTGTCTCCTTTATACCAAGAAATGCAGTTTCCTTTTAACTAATGCTGGGCACCACATTAATTTAGAGAAATCTCTCCATTATCCCTGTATGTCAAATAAAACTGCAATATACACTGCAGAATGTCATGTCAGATTCAATAACAAGGGTTCTTAAGGAAGTGTGGGACAAAGATAAGTAGCCAGATTTTTGTGTGTGTGAGTATTTCAAATTTCATCCTAAAATAGCTTGAAGATTGTTTAAGATTAAGAATTTCCTTAAACCTTTGCATTTCAACTTAGGTCAAGAGTATCTGTGCTGTGGAAAGAGCTCTTGTTTCTCTCTGAAAGAAACTGACATTTCAGATAATCCCATGTGGAGTCTTTCTGGGATATGTGTCTGGAACTCACATTAGGATCCCCTCAAACTAGGATTTCCCCACTAATCTCTCCATTAGTTTGCACATACTGGTTATGTTGTTGGTCATCTGCCTCGTAGCCGTCACATTTTTACTTTTATCTTTAAATACTATTACTTGGCTTTGTTAGCAGGTGAATGGAATGTTTCAAATCCCAATCATGCTAGCTGCAAAAGATCATCGTAGTTCCTGTTAGTTGTGTCATAAGATCAAAACTAAATGTGGTTGGTGTGACAAAATAAAACGACCACTTTAGTATTTAAAGGTTATATTTTCAATACTGCACACTAAGGTTGCAAGATTTTGAATTATTTTAATAAATAGAAAATGAAAATAAATGAAACATGGTATTTTAATTGATAAAGTCTTTATAAAGAAGTACTATCTATTTCGGCCTGCTGAATTTTACCTATACTTTGTCACCTTGTTTTACTAAATGCTAACCTAGAAGACAGAATAAATACTTTAAATTTTGGAGTTCTTTCTCAGTTCTGCCAGTCACTAGGAGCTCTTAGAAGATAAGGGCTTTAGTTGTTCTCATTTATAAAATGTAAATAATCACTCTTCCTTGCATCTATTTATTTATATATAAAAATTTAGGTAACACTGGTTCACAACACTGTACATTATTCAGAATGATCATTTTTACCTACCTACTACCCAGCATGTTTATAAGAATCAGGCAAGATCATATATACATCTATATCATATATATTTTTTTTCACAAAATACATGAAAAAATGTGAAATACTATTTTAGTCTATAATTTATAAATTCTGTAACATTCTCTTCCTTTAGTTCTTACTGCAGCTTATTTATTATGAGCTAAAGAGGAATTATAGGCCATCATTTTGGCAGCCTTTTGGAGTTAGAACATCTTTCTCATGATTCCACTGCTTGCTTTACAGTATGCCCTATGTTAGGCTCTAAGCAGACACTGAATCATTAGCTATTGGGATCCCAATTCTATTAAATGGAGTTCCTCCTCCTGAATGTCGTTGTATTCAACATCAGAATTAATGCTTGATAGAATAGTCAGTATTCTAATAGGCAAATCTCAGAAGACAAAGTAAAGTGAGTCTCTACCATGGTATTACAGAGGCATTGAAAATAGGCATCAGGTGAATGTTCGGGCAAATGGACAAAGCAGAGGAAGAATAGGATCTCAAGGAAGGCACAATAGGTGTATAATGGAGTCCCAATAGAAAGAGTTGGTATCAAAAAATTTAGGGATTAGGGGGACTGGAGACCTGGCCTTCCCTATCTGGAGGCTCAGTGTCAGAGGGGTGAGCTAAAGACATGGATCCTTTGATTGCATCTTGGGTATCGAGCATCAGTTTTGTTCTAAAGAGGAAGGCGAGTGTCTGATGCTGAATTAAATCATATACAGTGTTTTAAACCAATGTACCTTAATACAGAATAAAAAAATCACAAATTACTAGGACAAGAAACAACGATGAATTGTCAAGAGGATTTGTTGGGAGGGTCAGGATTTTTCTAGAAGGTGGACCAAACTCTATGCGGTAGTCATGTGTCACCATCAACAGGAAAGAGAAATTTTGGAGCTGGGTGAAAGTATCAGTTCTTTTGTTTCACTGAATGTCATTACCTACTTCTACAAAATATCTTTCCTCTCTGAAAGTCATGCACTGACCTAACGAAATTATGAGGGCTGAATTTATATTCTAAAATTTTTACTTTAGGAGATCTTGCTAGTTTTTTTCCAACATTTTTACTATATATAGCTATTAGTTCTGCTGTAACTCTAAAGGTTAATTTCCTATTTCTGTTTTTGAAAATAATTGGTTTTAAAATGCAGAATGCTTCACGAATCTGCATGTCATCCTTGTGCAGGGGTCATACTAATCTTCTCTGTATCTTTCCAATTTTAGTACATATGCTGCTAAAGCAAGCACTAAAAATCATTTTTTAAAAAAAACTGGTTTTGCTTCCCTGTTTCTTTTTCATTTTCCTTTCAAAATTATTTTTCCAAAGCTTCCATACAACACCCTTACTGCATCTCCATTTCTGTAATCTCACTGCCTAATCATACTCTCCAGTTTCCAGCAGGAATCACAAAATTCTCAGGCTCACAACTATCATTTTGCAGATTTTGACATTGAAGTAGAAAAACATGGCATCATTAAATATTAAAACAGCAAAACAAAAGCCATGAGGTAATAGTTTTATAAAGATGTCCAATTGTTATACAAGCATAACTCTGTTTTAACAGTTCTTTGCTACACTGTTCACAAGTCTTAGAAAATGGATGCTTTCCCCTGGAAGAGGTGGGAACTCTGGACATGGTTGAAATTTAGGATATTAATTTTTCATTCTTCAGTAGACTTTCACATATAAATAGAACATGGTATATATAAATATTGAGGAATATTTGAAAAGGAAGAACTTGTAACTTACATTTTTGGATCTGTCCACCTTCAGCCCACACTACAATAACTTTTGGTCAATCTTTGGCTATAAAAAATTGATGCACACAATACAATCTACAATGGGTTTTCAGCAGAAAATTAAATTACTATGCTTACAAAGAGAGAAAAGATTTATCTTTTAAAACCATTCCAACAAGCATAGAAGGTATAAAAAGAAATTCTGTTAACCCCAGTCCCCTAAGGCATTTGTTTAGTTGGGATTCTGGGGTACATGTATTTCTTTTAAAACATATGTTATAACACACTTTTTTCTGAGATATGCAAAGGAAGCAAGCCTAAGAGCAGAGATATGTGGGCATCATTAGGAGGTAGAATGGGCTAAATCTAACACACTTTGGGAATGTATCCATACAACAGGCTACTGTTTCCATAGGTGCTGGAGTTTACAGATACACATGGGGCTATCATACTCTGGGGGTGCTAGAACTTTACCTTGATGGTAGCCAGGACCACCTCCATTACAGCACACTGTCTTGGTGTCAGACCCTTGGCATCTTCTCGAATCATATGCTCCTATAAAACAGGTTCATGATTACTGATAAAATCACTGATCCATTTATTTAACAATTACTTTCAAACATTTCTTATTTAAGATATACTTTTCATATGAACACTTGTTTGATGATTGTGAAAAAAATGCTCATGTTCACTAAAGGAGTAGTACATTGACTCATATGTGGCTTTATTATCTATTCATCAAGACAATGTTTGTCAAAGCTTTCTTGCCTTAATTCCTTTATGCTTTATTGTACTGAGGAAGGTCAATTGTGAAAGGGATTTAAAAGGTGAATTTTAGCCTCTGTCAACTACTACTGATGTCTACTTTAAGTACGATTTCACCAATTATTCTCTTTTTTGGATTCAATTAATTCTTGGTCACTATCAGGAAGAGCCCCAAAGAATTAACTGAATTTGGCTTTGGAGATTTCAATATTTTAGAACTGATTTCCATCTTTTACAATAGATTTTTGTTCATTTGGACTGCCTCAGTCCATCATTCAAAGTTTATTTAGGAAATAATGGTAGAAAGCTGAAGAAAATAATATAGGAAATAGAAATTTGGGGAAAACATTTTTAAATTCCTGCTGTCACCACCTCCTCCCCCCCCCCCCCCCGCCCCTGCCCCACCAAACTGATATAATCTCTCCAGGGCTGCCACTGTCCAAATCAACAATATCTGACAAACATTGAGTGAGTAATGTTCTAAGTGATTGTTATATTGTCCCCACACTTAAAAAGATTTTTGTGCTCCTGGAGTTTAAATTCTAAACTTACATAGTTGCCTTTGTGTTTGTTTGGGGAAACCCACTTAGGTAGACATAGCTCTGAGCACTCATGGCTTGATGAATGGATCACTACTACTGGTCAGTATTCAAAGTTGCCTCTTTCCACAGGGCAAAGCTCCTTCTCATCAGCACATAAGGCTTGGCAAATGGAGAAGGGTCCTATTTACTGTCATTACTTCTGTGCCATGCACAAGTCACACTTGGTAGTTCATCAGTCTATTCTGGCTCTTTTCTTATTCTGTTACTTACTAAATGGCATCATTTCCTGAGGATAAATCTCTACCTATGTCTTATTTCTGCAGCCTTTTATTGCTTAGGTTGGCAATTATCACCTGCAAAGCACTCAGTATATTTTTGGTAATTGAATTGTGTTTCCTTCAGCATATCTTGTAGGGTTACTTTGCTTGAATGGAATCATAGTCCTCTAAATATTGTTGATACAAGGCATACTGCTTAATAAATCCATGATGTACTTGTGCATCTCACTGTTTCTCACTCTGACATAGGAATTTCAACTCAAATGAGTCCAACAAATATTTTAAAAATAGGAAGTACCCACTAACTGAGACTCAAAGAGCAATGAAAATCTTTGCTGAATGATAGTGGGGGAATGATTAAGGGCAAGTAAATGTAAATATATTAATAAGCCTCTCTGGTTTCCTCAGTCTTGACCAGTTTTACAATGTGGTCATATTATTTTTTTAATAGATGCTAATATTGTGGGTTTTACAGAGAAATATAATTCTTGCTAGAAATACTTAAACTAATTCAAATAAGGGAGTCTCTAAAAGAGGCAGGCAGTGAGTCACTGCCCCCAAAAATTGTGCTTATAGTAAACTCATAGTCTGGATGGTTTTAATTAATTGCTTTTGATACTGTTTTACCTGTCCATGAAGACTTAATTAATAACATTTGGCAAAAAATGCTCAAAAGCAAAATAATATAGAATATATCAAACTGTTCAATAGATTTTTGTTCAATGAATTTTCAAATTAATCACTAAATTGTAGTCAAATGCAGATAAATAAATTCTTGTTCTATTTTCTGCAATGCTTTTAAAATAAGGTAGTTAGTACTTCTAGATAAAGCCCTGTAGTTTAAAATGAAAACAAAACATTGGAGGTGACATTCTAATAAAGTAAGTGGAAACAGACTTGTAAAATTTGAAGGTCTTAATTCTGGTGAGGTTTTAATTTTTTGCATATAATTGTAAAGGTATTATGACTCTGTAATTCAAATAACTAAATGGACCAAATTAAAAAAATTAAATAATAGAAAAATATTCAGAATAGCTATTTTTTCTGATACCTACAATAACAAGATTTTAATTTAGTCCTTCAGGTTATTTTAGTATTGATGAATTACCATGTAGGACATCTTATTAATAGTTTGCTTTTAGTTTATTACAACCAAAAGAGAATTCCCTGAACTGAAGAAATGTTGGCTGAAAGAGACATAACGTGTTCTAAAGTTCATAAAATTTAGACAGGACTGAGTACACAGCGAGTTCAGGGATGTATGTGAGTTTAGCCAAGCAGCTTATGTTGCCCTCCAGATTACAGTGTTTGAGTTGGTAATGGCAACAATATTCCATGAAAGCCAATGATGTGCCACTAGACTTTGCCAAAATTCCTTACATATGTGGTTCTTTTCTACAAGATTTCAAGGTCCAAGGACCTTAGATAGAGAACAGAGGTAAGATGGGTGGTTTGTTACTGGGATTTATCCAACAAGGAAAATGCAGAGAAATAGGAAGTGGGTCCTATAGCATCATTTGAGTTATTAATCAAGCAGTGATAGAAACCAGTTATCCCAGGACTATAAAGTTTCATGTAGCAATAAATTCCCTCTTTGTTAATGTTAGTATGAATTTCTATCACTTTGAACTGACTGAATTCTAGCCGATGGAACATTAAATTCAGAAAACTGGAAGAGCTGGAGTATTTCCTAGTACCACACATGTGAGTAGATGCAGGCTAAGAGCCATTTCTTTTGTAGTGAGACACTACGCTATTTCACCTTCAGGGTTTTATATTACATACCTCAACACTACATAAATCTATTTTTCAAAGCAGGGACTAGACACCCCAGGGAAATAATGACAGGGGGAAAAATGGAGATACCAATCTGTGATCCAAAACAATAGTTTGGCAGTGACATGAACACTTTACTTTCTCTCTCGGCTTTCAACTTCATTGACCACCTGCGAGCAACAATTTTAAGTAGTGGTTATGTCTTTTTAAATGGATTATTGGCTTCTAATTTTTTTGAGGAAGGGAATAACGTAGGTGATAAAATAGGATACTGAAATTATAGGGTATCCATTTTATGTCAGCAATTACTCAGTCAAGTGGATTATCCTTCCCTGCACTGCACAGAACAATTGCAGTGATCCCTAATTCAGAGCTGACAGATGGAAGAGAAGATAAGATAGTTACCTCTGGAAGTAGAAGATCACATACTCCTCACAGGTACCACTCAAAGACAACATATATATTATTTATCCTCAACACTCCTATAAAACAAGGGTTAAATTTTTCTACATTGCACAAATGCTAAGTCTGAAGATTAAAAAGGTAAAATCCTTTGGCAATTGGCAGGTAGTTAAAGGCAGTCGAGATAGAATTTAAACAATGTTTTCTGTGTCTGAAACTCATTCCCCAGGATACACTGTAATCCCACTTTACTTATATAATGTTCTTATGTGTAGTTCTTTTATGATTAAGTGGATAATGTGGTATACATATCAATGGGATTTTTTTTTCAACTTTATAAAGAAGGAAATCCTGCCTTAGTTGTGAAGCCAAATTCCTATCCTAGATGGGCAGAACCTGAGGTTACCCTGTGCAACTCTACAGGGTTGTGAATTGCAAGTAATAATTTAGGGTAGGGCTTTTTAGTCAGCAAATTCTCAAGTATAATGAGGCAGAATATGGTGATATTATGTTTGAAAGTCTGCTTTGATGAGTTTCATATTCCCACATCAAGTTTCTTGTCTCAAAGACTTTCCCAGACTTGACTGGATTTCTATGAAGTGTTCCATTTCGCCTTCATTCATACAAAGCTACTTTATTTCATGAAAGAAAATAATGTTCTCTAATTTACTCCAAAAGCAGTCATGCTGAATGCTAAAACACAAAGTGAAAAATTTCCAGTTATCATACCAACTGGAAAAGATGAGAAATTCATGGGAAATAACTTAAAATTTAGTCCCTAAGTTTTAGTCTCATTCATCTTCAAAGCAGATTGTGAGATTACAGACATACATCTTAGTACACTTGATCTTAGCCAAAAGGCTGAGAAGCAATTACATCTTCATAGCAATGCCACGTTAGATGCCATTACTAGTAGAAGGATAGTTTCTTGAAGACCTGTCGTTAGTTCATTAATTTTCACATTTTAAAATTCTTCTTACCTTCAGTTTGGATAGTTGGCCGAGATCTTTAGCTGCAATGAAAATCATCTGGGGTCCCTAGAGACACAGGAGATCTTTAGTAAAAGTCACAATGGAAATGTGAAGAAGAGAGAATCTATTTTATTTCCCTTAGTGCATTTGTTAGTAGATTGTCAGATGCCCTTAATTGATCTATTTTACAGTTTGGGTCAATGAGAGATCTAATACTGGCAATATAGCTGTCCTTGTAAGCATCCCACTTCGGAAAGTCTTAAGCTTGAGTTTTTGAATGGGTTGCTGACAGTAGAGCCAGTTTAATGTAGAATGTGGATTAGATCAGTGACTTTCCCCAACAGCTTTCAGATCTTTAATTTTTATTTGTTAATTTTTAGCAGTGGCAACTCCCTCATCCAATTCCCCTCCCCACAAAATAAATCTGTACAAAATTTCAAGATACAGAGCTGAAGAAAGTAGAACTGCATTTCTTCCTGAAATGCTGTACATTTTACTAGGTATCTACCCTCTTAACTCCCTCAATCACAGGGTTTCCTAGAACCCCAAGTTTCTCCAAAAGTTTGAAAGACACCAGAATAAACACCTGAAGCACTACTAGAGTGAAAACCCAAAGGCCTATCTGTTGGTAAATGAGGCAGGTGAAGTATTAGATTTGGCTAAGTTAGTTAATCAGCCTAGAATTTTTCACAATAAGAAAAAGACTAATCTGGAAAAAGTCTTCATTTTTAGTGGAGAAATTAAAGACTAGAAGGCTCATGAGAGCAGCAAGTAACTCTAATATTGCGCATATTTTATCCTTAGCACATTGCTTAATACAAAGAAATTCAAAGAGCATGTACTGAATGATATAGCTTCATACCTGGAGATCCCAATGCTACAAAAGACTGAGGTAATGCTGAGCTTTCCCAGGAAGGACTTTACATCAAAAATGTCATGTACAGTATTTTGGCTACAACATGATATATACGTTCTTGAAAAACCTTATATTCTACAAAATTGTACACTAGGAATTATGGGGAAAAATAATTAGAAGTCAGCAATCTGTTACTGAGAAACTATTAGAAACAGTAAGAGAGATAGCTTGGGCAGCTAGCAGGGAACTCAGGCAGGTTGGCTGTCTCAAAGGTTTTTAAAAATGCAAAAAATAAAATTACAAACAACCTAACTAAACAACACTAAATAGAGTGCAATTGTGAACTCTATGCCCACAGGTGGACATGGGGGAAGGGAACTGGCCACATGTGCGAGTATGAAATCCTCCCACCTCTCTCTTTTTTTTTTTTAAGATAGCGATGAAAGGATCCTGCCTGTGTGTTAGCCAAGCTGAGTGCTCTTTTCATTTTTGCTTAAGTTTTCTATTATATTCTCTAACCTCTCACCTAGTAAAATTAGCATATAAATCAACCCAATCTCCAGATTGTACTGACATCATTTCCCTACTGATGACATGGTAGGTAAATGAATAAGTTGTGTGTGTGCGCTAATATATGTGATTGATTAGCTGTATATGTAAGCTTAAATGATTTATAATACATATTCATGACATTAAGCAGAACTGGAAGCATTTTATAATTTATCATCCACTGTCTGGCAGTAAATCAACAGAAACGGGTACCTCTTCCATCTAAAATACTTATAAGAAAACATTTTCTACACATGCAATTTCACTGGATAAATATGGACATAGTGTATCTGATTCATGATATCAATAAATATTTTAGTTTAGTATCTAGTTCCTCATTATTTGCATCAACTTGCCTTCCTCACTCACAGAAAATTACTCCATAACTGTTGCTTGTTAGGGTTATTGATCTTTGCTCAGCTCAGCTTAGAACATATAAACACTGAGGTACCTGGCTAGATCACATTGTCTAACTTTGCCAAGTTTTCTGATTCTTTATTTCACTGTGTATGATTCATTTAATCATGTTCTTCAAATACACTATAAGGTATCTCCTCTACGAAACTCCAAGTGGGAGGGTGAAAAAAATGTCATATGATAGTGTTGGATTTATCTTATTAAACTAAATTTTCAGAAAGAAACAACAAGGTTATTGGATCTGAAATCCATTTCTTGGTGAGTTTACAGTAAAATTAAATTAAAAAATTCTATGTGTAGACCAGATAAACCTATAAATTGAACTTTGATATCTTTTTTCAAAAGAGATGAAGTTCTGAATGTCAAGTAAATGTGAATTTGCTGCTGCAACTATTTAAAATTGATTTATATAGGAAAATGTTATTTGAATTATTATTCTTAAGACACTGAATACCAGGCATTTTTCCCCACAATGGATTTAATTGGAATTTAATCAGCATCAAATCCATTCAAGTAAGCAAAATAATTAGATGGCTTTTTGAGAGTGTTACCAAACTTTCGTTTAAATACTTACTGTTTGATCTGTCAGAGGAGGTAGAACAATTTGTTTTTCTATTTTGTTAAGAACCAGTTTCCATAGCTCTTTCAAAACTCGCTTCAGGACTGTCTTCTCACAGATTTTTGCTGAGAGACTTAATCTGAAATAAAATGTGTACTCACTATAAATCTCATATCAAGTTACCTACTTATTTTATTAATCAGAAATTTAAATTTTGTTGATACTGAGATTCAAGTAACTGAACAGGTATTATTATTCTAATGCTAAATTTCACTTACTAAAATTCACTAATAAATACATGATTTCAAAATTTGTTTCATCACACCAACACCAAACATTAGATAATTCACTATTTTGGGTATAAAACAAATTCAGAGTCTTTCCTTAAATTGTTGCCTCAATTTACATCAAATCTCCCAAAGTACAAGATTTATCACCTGCTCTCCTGACTTGTATTTACTCCATGCTCCATGTTCAGGGTGCAGCATAAGCACCTAGGAAACAAGCTTTCATCACTGCAGCCACAGGACAACACTGCAGATGATTTTACCTACGAACTGCAATTTACCAATTTTGTTTTTCAGTTCTATCAAGGTGTGATTAACATTGCTTAAGTTTAAGGTGTATGATGTAATTATTTGATGTGTGAATGTATTGCAAAATGACCACTATAAGTTTAGTTAACATTCATCAGCTTACTATGTTCTATTTTTTTCTTGCAATGAGAACCTAAAATCTATTCCCTCAGCAATGTTTTAATATAAAATACAGTATTATTAACCATAGTCACCACACTGCATACTACATCCCTAGGACTTTCTTAAAACTGAAAATCTGTATCCTCATCCATTTGATCACCCACTTCTCCCTTGACCCTATGATTCTCTGTTACTGAGGTTTTTTTTTTTTTTTTTAAGTTTCAGACTATTAATAGTCTTAAGGCATTTCTTACAAATTCTCACAATGAGATAGTAACAAAATGTCATTTATGTAACAACTTAATTTAGAAACTCTTCTGTAGCTATTTCTCATTTATTATATTCATTTTACAAATAATAAGCAGGCTTAGAGAAGTAAGGGAACTTGTCCAAGAAAGCAGAGCTAAAGAGTGAAGGCTGATAAAGTCAGACTCTATCCCTAAACCCAGTATGTCTTCCATTGCCTCAAGCTGCCCTTGATAAATGTGCTTGTATATGAAGGCCCAACAGTCTATGAAGGCAGAGCGATGCATAAATATTTACTGAATGTACCATAATATCAAACTTAACTTTTGCGGACTTTTTTTTTTAAGATTTTTTATTTATTTATACCAGAGCTGGGGTATAGGCCAGAGGTGCAGGAGGATGAGAGGATTCACTAGAGACAGAGTGGGGAGCAGAACAGCCAGACAGACTAAAAGCACTGCTGAGGGGAGCAGCGGGCGAGAAAGGAGAGGTCTGCCATGTCATGTGGGTACCTCCCTGGCTGGCTGGGAATCGAACCCACACTGCAGAGGCTGCGGACAGCTTCACAGTGCTATGCTCAAACCGCTGCACCACCAGGGAGGCCCCTTTTTTGGGGCTCTTATAATAATGTTCATCAAACCTCTTTCACAGAGGGCCAACGATTTGGCATATTTCACAGCTACCTCACTTATTCCTATAATGCAGTTAACTACTTTGTATACTTTGGAAATTATAACTTGGGTTGCAGTTCTGATAGAGACAGAACTTACAATATTTAAACATTTAAAAAATTCATGTTAATAATTACTATGCAAACCAGTATTTAAAGAGATGTGGAAGGCAGTCACAAAGGGAGAAATTTCCAAAATACATTTTCATATAAATTATTTGTCCTATAACATTCCTATATGCAAATGCATTAAAGCAACCTCCTCTGGATGAAAAGGAGAGCTGGGAACTGCTGAGGCATATCCAGGGAACAGTAGCCTTATTGGGCTGGAAACCATCTTTCAAGGGTAGTATGTCTAGCTTGCTAATGGATATTCATGCTATGGATATGAGATCGAAACCTGCAGATGTGTCAAGGTGGACTAACTGAACCTATCTTCAGAAACTCCTAGGAGAATCTGAGACACAACATATATGCCAGTGTTACAGCAGGTGTCTAATTTACATTTTTGAAAGGTTTAAGAACTGATATTGTATTTATGGTCCGCTCATGTGCTTGGCATGCTAACTAACCCTACTTGGACTGGAACTGAATGGATAGGAGTAAAGTCATTGACATATTTGTAGCTTTGCATGTTATTTCTGCCACCTAAAAATGGAGTATATAGCTTGTTTTATAGTGGTGAGGTCTCTGTAAGGGGAAAAAAAAAACACCTCTCATAAGTTATTTAGAGAGGCTGAATGCACAAAGACAAAGAGAGCCTATACATTTATATGATTTAAATGATTTCTAGGTGTATTTTCTCAAATCCACTTTGAAAACCTTCAGCCTTCTATTGTTCATTACAAATAATATAAAGGGTGGGATAAGCAACTGCTTCCTTAATTTAGTCAAACTTGTTAACACCAACTGAAAAATTTTTTGGAACTTATCTAGACTGGCTTACCACATAGCCAGTTACCGAGACTATTTTCAAAATGTCCTGTATATTAACTGACAACAGAGATTTCCTGTCATACAGTTGATCAGATTTTCATGAAATTGAATCCAGCTGTTCTCCCTCCCCCTGGAATGCCTGTCAGTGATTTCCAGAAATCCAATCTGATCTATCTGTGAAATCCCACGCCAAATTAAATTTCTACTGTATGTTTTATTATGTTTTTTTTTTTTAAATCCCTAAATGTTGGCTTCTTGAGAAAAGACTATTTCACGTAAAAACAGAAAAACACAAACCACTAACATGTGGTTTATGGTTATACATTCTGTAATAGCTCTGAGAATTTCTGCAACTCTCTATGCCTCATAGTTTCTCTTTCAAAGAAAAAGAAAGTAGGTCACTAAAACCATACACAAAATTTAAATCAAGACATATCTAAAACACATAGAAGAAAATATAGGTGGTACTGCAATGATACTGACCTTAGAGATGTGACTAAAGACTCAACTTGGACAACAAGGGAAACAAATGGGACTACATCAAACTAAAAAGCATGTGCACTATTATCAAAATGAAAACACAATCCTGTTTGGAAGAAGATAATTGCGCATCATACATATAACATGAGGTTAATATCCAAAATATACAAAGAATTCATATAACTTAGCAAAAAAAACCCAAACAACCTGATTAAAAAACAGATAGAGTCTATGTCTTCCAAAGAAGATATACAGATTGCTGATTGGCACATGAAAAAAATGTCCATCTCCTGTTAGAGAAATGCAAATCCAAACAGCAATGAGATAGCACCTCATATCTGAGGTGAGAAATGCTATTCAAAAAGACAAGAAACAGTGTTGGAGAAGACGTGGAGAGAATCCTATACACTGTTTAGTAGGATTATGCATGTGTGCAGCCATTGTGAAAAGCAGTATGGAGATTTCTTAGAAAACTGAAACTAGAAATGCCATACAATCCAGTTGTCATCCTTTCTGGGTGATAACAAAAAACACTAATTAGAAGAGATGTGTCTCTCCCCTGTTTACTGAAGCACAATTCACACTCACCAAGGACAGAAAATAACCTATATGCCCATCAACTGGCAAATACCATATTATTTCACCCATGTGATGTATAATAAATACAACTAAAATGCTAGTATATAAGACCAATTAATGGTTGCCCTAGTGGGCTAGGGAAGAAGGGCAGGGAATCAGCACGGAGGGGACAATGGTATGCTGAAGGACAGAATTGGACTCTTGGCAGTGAATTTAATGTAAGTTCATGTTGCTCGTCAGTGATGCACATCTGAAACTTGTATCAAGTTGTAATGCCATGTTACTTAATTTTTTTTTGTAAACCTATGCTATCTCAGTAAGAAAAAGACCTCAGTAGCTCTAAGTTAGATCTCTGTCACAATTTTTAATTTTTTTCTCTATTGGGGTAATACTGGTTTACAGCACAGTCCATGTAGGCGAAGAGGGTCACCCCTCACCGCCCTATCTATGCAGCTACACTGTTCCCCAAAGTTTTAAACTTACTTACTTTCCTGTCTTTAGACAGCTATTTATAATTCCATTATTAAAAATTACATATATATGATATAATAAAGGATAATTAGAGAAAATTAAGACTAAGTAAAATAAGAGCCACTTTATGTATGGCTTCCATTTTGTGGGTGGTAAAATAGATTCCTGACCCCTTGACTAGTAGCTGACACTATCAGAAGAATTTAAAACTTTGTATCACAGCTTTTCATTGCAGTATATACATACATAAATAATTTCCTTAGTTATAAATGATAAAGCCTCAAACCGCTGGTTGAAGTTCTGAAAACAGAAGGCATTCCAGTAGGAGTTTTAGGAGAGTCAGTTGCTATGTTCTTAGCCCTATCCATCATATTTGTAGCCAAATGGTGGTGACCTTGTGATTCCATTCTGTATTGTCTATAGAAAACTCACCTAATAAGATAAAATTTTCAAAAGCTATGTGGGAGATCAGGTGACAAAACTAAAAATCTACATTAAGAAGCTAAATAAATGAAGTCTTTCTGCCTTTCCTTTCCCGCTCTATCCTGCCTGTTTCTTCTTTCTTCTATACTTAACCTCCCGCTATGCTAACAAATTACCTACTCACATATCTTCCAGGTATTTCCATATAGAAAACAGAAAATAAGACCTCATTTTTCTACCAAATATTTAGATTAAACTGATAAAGTAATATTTAATTAAAATAGTAGTGATAAATATTTCTCCCTACTGATTCCTTCTTTGATATCCTTTAAGCAAATATATTATTATGTATCTTGGTCCTTTTAGTTTGCCACAACAGTAACAAATAGGATTATACACATAATCTTTAGTGCTGGTCCCTAGGTAGGCATTCAAATTGTTACTTACCTTTTTCTTCTACTTTCTACCTTTCTTTTAATATTATTCTTTTCAAAAAAGGCTTGTCTTTGGTTGCTTTGGATCAATGGTTGCCAGATGTGTACATTTTAATATATTAATATGAAAATGAGTGCGTGGACCCTACTCCAAACTTAGCCACCCAAGGCTTCAAAGAGTAGGAACTGAGTGGCATTAAACAAGCAACCTTCTAAGAATACTGTCTCAGTTGGTCATGAGGGACCCCCATTCCACCCACTTCCACCATTACAGACTGCCATTTTCATAGTCAGGGATTTTGACTTTATTTTTCATTAACTGTTTCGTGACTATAAAGTTTGATCCAGATGGGCACTCAATAAATCATTTTTTTTTAATTTTTTTAAGGGTGACTTGGGAAGCAGTCTACTTACCTGTGAGCTGATTTAATTCTAGTCATATTGTGCTTTTCTCCTCTTCAGCAGGTTTCTGATATGAAATCAGATATTCTAGACAACTTATTCTTTATGTCCAGGAAGAGACAAAACGACATGTACTGTGGGCATCACAGAATCTTAAATCTTTCCCTGCCTCAGCAGCAACCTCTTTAGTCACCAGTATTTCTTTCCTCCATCCTTTTCCTTTCCTGTACAATGTTTTTTCCCATTCATATTGAACTAAAAGTGTTTTTACATTTTAATGAATTGACATATTTTTGCAGAAGCCTTTTACATAAAGGGAAACAATTATATATTTTTTACCTCAGATGCTTTCCTGTCTTTAGACAAGAGTCAAATACTAGACAAGGAAACTTACGTTTTGTCCAGGAAGTCCATGAGAGGTCTTAATACAATCTCAGCATCCATGGCGGCACTGTTCTTATTAGATGCAGTATTTCCATTTATTCTCATTTGATTTAGTTCAAAACTCATCTGTTTTATACACTCTTCAATGATAAGCTGGAAACTGAAAATAAGGAATGTAAGTTCTGGGATTAAAAATCAAACATTTATGATTTCCTTTGCCTGTGTCTGTTTAATCCACCTTGAGGAGTTTGGTCTGTTTCAAATGGTGTGAATTCCCTTTATCTTTAGTTTTCAAACTTACTGTTCAGCTGCAATTTTTTTTTTTTGTTGGAATAAAAGCTTATTTGGAACACTTATGTATAAAGCAGATTAAAAGTAATACTATTCTGGTTAAATTAGTTAAAGTGGAGGTTCATTCAACCACCATTTTTTAGAGTGCCAGCTGAGATGTTCCTTTGTGCACTGTTTGGAGAAATGACTGATATTGAAAGAGTGTTGGCATTTGGATATATCTTGGTTTTGGGGCTCCACACCCTCTTGGCTTTCCTCCTGGCAACCCCTCAATTTTCTGCCCTCTAACCATTGAGATAGGGGTGTCAGACTTAGTAAATAAAAACACAGTGTCAAGAAAGGAGGGATTGGGGTCAAAATAAGGGGGTTGCAATTGTATGGGGAATATAAAAATAAAATTAAAAAAAAGAAAGAAAATTGAATTTCAGAGTGTGAGATAAGTATGTGTCAGGCAATATTTGGGACATTTATTCACTGTTTATCTGAAATGCAAATGTAACTGGGCATATGCTGTGTTTCCTCTGGCAACCCTCTAGTGTTGCCAGGCTATATCCTTGGATCATGCCACGTCTCCATCAAAATCACTTCCTCGTCAAGCATATCTGTCTCATGACTTTCATGCCATCTATATATCGGTGACTCCTAAATATTTATCTGCAGATTTGACTTCTTCAAATTCCAGACTATTATAAAAAATTGCCTACGTAAACTTTCTACTTAGAAAGCAGAAGTCTAGTGAGCTTTTGTCATACTCAACATCTTTTCATCATCAAACCTTTACAAAATATCCTATCCCTGAGGATCTACTGTTACTACCACAGCCCACCATTATCTTTCTCCTAAATTTTTGTGATAATTTCATAAATTGTTTCTCTGTTCAACCTCTTCAGATACCCTGTTAAAGCTTAATATTGCTTCTTCCTTACTAGTCATCTTCAATGGCTTCCAGATCCACTTACAAAAAAACTTAGAATGTATTTCATAGCCTTAATTATAGCTCAGAATAGTCTGGTTCTGGAAACCTCCCTAATCATTTCTTAGCACTCTTCCCTCTGCTTTATTGCAGTCCAGCCATAGCAGCCTTCCGGTATTCTTAATAATTCTCTGAGGAGACTCTTTTGTTATGACCACTAATATGTTTCCTTCTCTATGCAATTTTTCATGTCCCTCAAATGTTTCAGATATATGTCAAATGTCACCTCCTCAGAGAAGTCTTCCTTGAACACACAACCTGAAATGTCATTTCTATGATTCTCCATTCCTTTTCAGTTCTTTAATTTTTTTTTTTACTTGTATTCCCCATTATTTGACATAATGGATACCTTTTCATTTGTTTACTACTTTTGCCCCAAGTAGAATTTGGGTATGTAACACTGAACAACAAAAAAGTCTCTGTACATGTTCTAAAAACTTACATACTTACAACATGGCATGTTCAATAAATACCATTCTCATTTTTTTTGTATCCCCTAAACTAGTTTTGGTGGTTCTTACTGAAGCAGTGGCAAATAGAGACTTAAATAATGGAGATTATCAGCATTTCTACTTTTTTATGTAAATATAAACTGGTAAAACTGTAAAAAAAATTCCTTGTGATAACTCTTAGGATCTACCATATTCACAACTAATATATATCACCCAGCAGTACTAGTTATAGTCATCCTGTTTACATTACATCCAGCATACTTATCTCAAAACTGGAAGTTAGATGCATTTGGCTACTTCTTCAGTAATATGAAATGTGCAATCATTAATTTTTTAAAATTAAATTTCAAGTACAAATGAAATCAATACAGTATTCATCTTTTTAAAGTCTAACTTATTTCACTTAGCATAATGACTGAACCTTCATCCATATTGTTACAAATGTTAGGATTTCCTCATTTTTAATGATTGAATAATATTTCATTGTGTAAATATACCATGACTCTGTATCTGTTCATCTATTGATGGACACTTAGGTTGTTTCTATATATTGGCTATTGTAAATAATGCTGCTATAAAATGGGGTGCATACACCCTTTTGAGTTAGTGTTCTTGTTTTATTTGGATATATTCCCAGAGGTGGAATTACTGGATCATACAGTAGGTTTATTTTTAGTTTTTTGAGGAAGCACTGCAGTTTTCCAAAGTGGTCGCACCAGTTTATATTCCCACCAATTACGTATTAGGGTTACTTTTTCTACACAACCTCACCAGTATTTATCTTCTACTGTCTTTTGGATGATGGCCATTCTAAAAGATATGAGGTGATATTTGTGTTTCCATTGGCATTTCCGTAATGAACACTAATATTATGCATCTTTCCAGGTAATGGTTGGCCATTTTGGAAAAATGTTCAGGTGTTTTGCCCATTTTAAATGGGATTATCTGGTTTTTATTTTTTGCTACTGCATTATATGAGTTTTCTATATTTTCTATATTTATCCCTCATCAGATACTTGGTTTGTAAATATTTTCTTCACATTCTATAGGTTGTCTTTTCACTTTGTTGTTTCTTTTATGCAGAAGCTTTTTAGTTTCTTGTAGTCACACTTGTTTAGTTTTCATTTTGTTGCTTGTACTTAAGGCATCATACCTAGAAAATCATTGCTAACGTCCACATCAAGGCAGTTTTTACCTATGTTTTTTTGGAGTTGTACAGTTTCAGGTCATGCATTTCTAGTTAATTTTTTGGGTGGTTGTAAGGTAGGGGTAGTTTCATTTTTTTTCACATGTGAATTCCAGTTTTCCCAGCATGATTTATTGGAGAGATTGTCTGTTTCTTTAGGTATTCTAGGTTTCCTAGTTAAATATTAGTTGAACATACAATTGAATTTATTTTTCTTTTTCAGTTGGTTCTGAAATCCTGAAATCTGAGTAGAGTTTGCATGAAATTTATAAATGGCTTTGGCAGTATTGATATTTTAAGAATACTACTTTTAAGCCATGAACACTACCTTTCCATTAATTTATAACTTCCTTGAATTCTTTCCTGAATGTCTTATAATACTCAGAGTTGAGATCTTTCACTTCCTTGGCTAAGTATGTTATTGCTTCTGATGCTATTATAAATGGTATCATTTTATTTTCAGTTAATTTGTTATTAGTGTATACAAATACTACCAATTTTCTTTGTTAATTTTGCATCCTGCAACTTTACTAAATCCACTGATTAAATGTCAGGTTTTTTTTGGTGGGGTCTGTAGGATTTTTTATATATAAAATCATGCTTTCTACAAAATAAAACAATTTTACTTCTTCATTTCTTTTTCTTGCCTGATTGCGCTACAAAGGACTTATTCCAGTACTATGCGGAATAGTAGTGGTGAGAGTGAATACAGTTATGACCCTGTATTTTAGAATTTAAGTTAAATATATCATTTCTATAGATTTTGGCTTTGTTATCTAACATGGAATATCTTTGCTAGACTTTAATTATCACAACTTCAGTGTTTTTCTTGCTACTGGTCCTTTTAAACAGGTCTATAAATATGAGTCCCTAATCTTGACTATAGTCAAAGCCTGATTCAACATCTGTCATATTTGACATGTTTCCATCTTTGGCTCCTGAATTCTTGATTTTCTTTACTGTTTTAAATACCATTCTTGCCCCTTTGGACCTAGCATTTGTACTGGGTTCCTTGGTCTTTGGATCTCTGCTTGCCTTTATGGATGTGACTCATTTATAGATTCTCAGTGTATTTATTTAATGCAATGGGACATCCTCTTTCAGACTGAGGTACAAATGGTTCCAAATGCCTGACCATTTGGCTTTTACCTAGCTAAAACTGATTATGGGTTTTTGTCTGGTATTGTCATGGGAGAGGGAAGGTGGAAAAGATGAGACAGAGTGATGCTGTTTGCTTGTAGTGGGCTTACTGCTTATAGATAATTGGGGTAATAGAAAAGAGGAAAATGATGGAATTTTTGAACTAGTTGATTTTCCATGGGGTGGTCAGATCCTGCTGACTACAGTAATAATTGCCTTTGAAATAGCTATTTTTTAATACTGATTCTCAAAGCAGTCTATTGAGTTGGAGACTAGACTGAGCAGAACTTATATTTCTATTACCAAAAAATGTGCAAATAGGTTCTTAGAACAAACGGATAAAGTAAATGTCCTCAGAAGCCAGTTGTGTGCATGTGAATGACATATGTAAAGGTATGTAAGTATCTAAAAAATAATGATATTCTACCTAATTCTTAGTAAACCAGTACCTAAATTTCACCTAAAAATCATTTGTGTCTACCCAAATTTTTTCTTTCTTTCTTTTTTTTTCGTTGAAAAATTCTTTAGAAACCAGTCACAGAAGAAGTCCTAACAAAGTATTCTGAGTTCACTGTTTACTTAATCTAGTTAGCTACCAATAACAAAAGAATGTAGTAAACTAAAGACCAAAACAAACACCAGTAAAATATGTGTACAGCAGATTTTGAAAATTTTGAAAGCTTGAAAAATCTAAAAGCATCTCTAAGGTGGGTGCCCTGAGAGTATGGCAGGAACTCGGAAGCAGGGACAGCATGTTCAGTTTGACTCTGTCCTGGATTTACTGTATAATCCCACCACATTTAACTGCAGGTTTTAATAACACCACTGTAAGGATTTTTTTTTTTAGTGGTTCATTATATACATAATTTTAAGCTCCATTTGTTAATTTAGACTGTAAGAATGGTATATTCAGACTGAAAGGATCACAGTGATCATTATGAACTTTCTACCTACCGTGTATATGTTATAGACATTTCTGGTAGTCTAGGATATAAATCCATAGCAACAAGGATACAATAATTATCCTTTTTTAAAAGGAAAGCATGCCATGTAAGCTATTTATTCCAATAACAGTAGCCCTATTTGTACAAAATAATTTAATTTTTCCTACGTTAAAAAAAAAAAAAACAAGATAGATAATGAGTGACCAGGAGTTTCAATGTCTAGGTTAAAATAGCTGGGTTTGAACAAATAAAGTACTTCAAGTTTGCTCCTAGGAGGGCTACTCCTTGTTTCATAATGTATTTATTCAGACTTTTTCAACATAATTCATATTTTAGCTTTACTGACCTGAATATTCTCTTGCAAACTAAACAAAATGCAGTTGCTCATAAGGATGATGTGGACATAATACACAGAGTAATCTTAGAATGCTTTTTCTATTTACATTCTAGTTTCTATTTTGTTTAGTTTTCTTATTTCCCATGAAATAAGAAACTTTGCTAAATAATTTCTATTTTTGCCTTCCTAGCTGAAGGCAATAGTTTTTCTGCTAAGCACATATTAATTCACCACTAGACTAAACAGAGGTAAGCCTAAGATGGTTGACCACAGGTCCCATTGCTAAATGACAGCCCATGTCAGAGCCAATCAGTCTCCAAATCTCTGGGACCATGTCTGCCTTTCCTACTTCAGGTAAATAGAAACTTCAAGCTGTTTGTTAGTATCTAGACCAAGTAACCTGTATCACCCCAGTCAGCAAACAGAAAGCAAAGTGACAACCATAAGCTCTATTTAGCAAGGCTGCATCTGGCTTAGCTTATGACCCATGAAGGTGGGCTACATAAAAGCAAATGAGCACACCTGTGATATTGAAGAGAAGGCCCAGTTTGGGACTTTGCTTTACTTTACCTCATTCCTATAGATGATGGGGGGAGGAAATGATGCTTTCACTGTTTCTTTAGCTCTTGACATAAGTAACCATTAAATGTTTAAGCACGTACCTTTTGAAAATGTAGTAAGTTATGAGTGGGGTTCAGAGACATAGCTATCCCTTGCTAGTAGAGTATTTTTGAAGCTTTGAGAACTGAATACAGTTAAAAATAAGTCATATAAAGCAAATTTTATATGAAATTAAGAGACTCTTCAAAATGTTTACTTTCCTATCTATTTTTTTAGGTTATTTATTTATATAAATATTTTACATTTTTCATTTTTGCACAATGTATGCATTTTCTTCTTGGTTGTAGTCCCCATTCAATTCCTACCACCCTTGTTTGGAACCTACTCCCCCCCAACCCTTAGTGTGTCTCTGGTTTATAATTGCTTGTTGATTTTGATTTTTACTGTATTATAATTGGTCTTTTTCCTGGTGAGGACCAGGAAGCACTAATTACAATTGCAGCACTATTTACAATAGGTGAGGCAGGGAAACAACCCAAATGCCCCAAAACAGATGACTGGATCAAGAAGATGTGGTACATATACACAATGGAATATTACTCAGCAATCAAAAAAAGATAAACTCATGCAATTTGCAGCAACATGGATGGCGCTGGAAGGGATCATACTCAGTGAAATAAGCCAGAAAAAAAGAAAAAATACTGATGGTCTTACTCATAGCAGGAATTTAGAAAACCTAACTATTTTCCTATCTATTTTAACATCTGATGATGAGATGGCTTTTCTCTGTAGGATCAAGATGATGTTCATCTAAGATGCACTTCTCTTTAGAGCCACATTATTATTATTTTTTTTTTAATTTGGAAAAATGTCACTAGTTTCCCATGGGGTAATTGCATTACGATTCCCACCCACTAAAATCTGGAATCTTGATTTGACTCAGTTAAGAGTTTGAAAGCAATTATTTAGCAGTATAACTGCATTATATGTATGGCATGAATGCAACTTGTGCTACTTACTTATGTAAAGCTTTCACCCCCCACCCTTTCCTTTCGCCATTCTTTCAATAGTCAATTGATAAGCTCTAAACACCAAAATTATAAATAGGGGGCCTCCCTGGTGGCGCAGCAGGGTAAGCGCAGCGCCATGAGGCTGTCCGCAGCCTCTGCAGTGTGGGTTGATTCCCGGCGGGTGAGGGAGATGCCCACATGGCTCGGCAGACCTGTCCCGTCTTGCCTGCGGCTCCCCTCGGCAGTGTGTTTTGGTCTGACTGCCTGTTCTGTTCCCCGCTCTGTCCTCTGTCACTGGTGAACCTCTCACTCTGGCCTGTACCCCTGTTCTTGTGTAAATAAATCTTGTTTTTTTTTTTAAAAAAAAAAAAAACCAAAGTTATAAATAGGAATGAGATATGGTTTCTCACGTTATGAGCATGTGAAGTGAGGGAAACAGGCAAGTAACCAGAACTCAGAAAACAATGTTTTGAGTGCTATCCAATAAGGATACACAGTTCTGGGAAGCACATAGCCAGACATCACTATTTGACAATGGAGTCAGGAAAAACTGTTCAGAGGAGATGATGCTTAGATTAAGTCATGAAGTCAAGTGGATTTAGCAGTATGAGGAATAGACGGCATTAAAGGCATGGCTATTATTAACTGAAATCAAATTCATCTGGATAATAACTATTATCTACTTAATCATAGTTTAACTATTCAGACCACTTACCTTTCACCATAAGTGATGCTGAGCTCATCCAGAACCCCATTGAGTTTAACTTGAAGCTCTTTGAGAACAGCGCTAGCTTCAGGATCTAACTGCAAAGAGAACAACAGCAGCATCACTTTTGTATTCGGAAAAAGCAGGTCTTTGTTTTTCTTAAAAGCATTTTGCTCGCGATAAGGTAAATGTCAAACAGCACACATGTGCTGCTTTCTTTCCTTTCACCTTTCCTTAAATGCAATATTTAGGAAATTTTAAAGAAACCAGAGTTCTATATGAAGCAAATCCACTGAAATGCATTGCATGCATACAAGTAAGAGCTCGATCAGCAAAGCTTTTGTTGATTATAGCAATGGGATGCAAGGCATGAGGAAATAACCTCCAGAACATGGTAACTTCATACCCTAGAAAACCTGTTGTATATTAAATATACATGTTGCCTCAAATAAACCTCAATCTTTATTATTCCTATAAATCACTAGGCCCGTTATAGTAAAAAGATTACATATTATGTATTGCATTATGAGTCACTTGAAGTTGTTTTCATAGTTCGCCAAGTAATAGGATAAACACATTATTTAAAAGCTCCAATGTGTCTATAGAGGTGATAGGCCCAACTTCTCTTCCTGGATGCCAATTTTCAAATCAGGGTTCAAGAGTCAAAGTTTCATAATTTAGTCCTCTCTACATCTGTGACTACTTATAGTTTGGGGGTAAACTATTAAACAAATTTGGAGGCGAAAGAAAAATCAGTTAAATCATATTTGGTAGTTGTTCTTATGCTGTAAACCTTAAAAGTCACTATTTTGATTCCAGTTCTTAAAAGGATGTTAATCAATATTACAAAATAACTTACACAACTATATTTACATATTTTTGAAATTAAAGTGAAAAAACAGATTTACTAACAATTTAGAAAATCTTATCCTTATATTTTGCTGTCAATAACTTACAACATGGATTAAACTTATAGAAATTCATGCAAAGCACAACATATAATAGTCTCTGAAATTTAAGTCAGTCTTATTTTGAGACTTAAATTCAAAAATCGGTTTCCTGCCATCCCGTCAATACCTATAATTCTTCTGCAAGCTAGTCTGCTATTGAAAAAGAAAAGGATAGCAGTGTAGCAACTTTTGGAAATAGAGCAAATTCCTAAGCCTTAGCTTAAATAACAGAAATTTAGAAAGATAGCAAGTGAATGTAGCAACCGTTATCAGTTTAAATTTCTGGGAGCCAGTCCAGGACCAAAAAGTCTCCCAAGTGACATATACTGGTCGTATAACCCCCAAGAACATTTTCTAATTGTAGGAAACAGGAAGAAGCATTATTTATATACCTCAGCCTTTGGGAAGCTCTAGGTTTGACTGACATGACTGAGAACATTGGAATGGGAGTAAAAAATTGCATTTGGCATCTGACACTGTTGATTATATCAAACCAATCTTTGAGGTCAATTTTACTCATATCCGGATGATTTCGAGATTGATTAGTTTCTGTCCCTCTATCAGAGCCAAAGTGATTTTTTTCTGTCCATATCTTCATGTGGGCTCATAGCCCTGACACACACACAAAATAAGAGAGAGACATTTATAGCAGTTGGAAAATTGGAATACCCTTGAGTCTCTTACTTTCTGAGAGTTTCATCAATTATAAGGGGATGATTCAGAAGGACAATTAGATGACCCTTACTTTTTAGAAGTAATACAATTACTTACAATGGTACAATTAGGCCTAAATACAATTAGGCCAATAAACCATAACTCTTCAAACCTTAAGTATATGTGGATTGCTTACCCCAGTACTAGGGAACCATGTAAGCTGAATGCTTACTGTTTTCCTCATATATCACTCTTACCAACTTCATTTATTTGGATAAAAAATTAAGGCAGTAGAAAATGTGCAAGAAATCTCTTCTATGGTTTCCTTTAGGTTTCCCACTCCTTGATACAATGTGTATGGATAGTTGATAACTACCTACACATCTCCCACATCCTAGGAAATGCCTGTGAGGGTAGAATTTTCTTCAGGAAATGGGCTTGCTACGTATTTCAAATATATGTTTAGGTTTCATAATAATTTCATATACACCGTGAGGTAGTTTAACCTGATAATGGCTTTAAAAATCATACAAAAAGGGCTAGTAGGTCAGTTAGATGACATTGTGCTCTTTTCCCATAAATTGTTAGTTTACCCTAGATAATTATAAATGGAAATTTCTTATGAAAGAATTACTTATTTACTTGAAAATAAGAAAATTATCAAACTACAACAATTTAAATACTGGATGACAGTTCCATTGTGATAGAAGCATGCATTTCTACGTTCAGAAAGGATGGCTCTATTATGTTATTCAGGCAAAATAATGGGGAATTATATCAGTTAACTATTTGATATTCATCTGATACAAATCATACAATTAAAACAGTAATTTTGAGGTCAATAAGAAAACTGGAGATCTTCCACAATAACAACAGGCATAAATATTATGCTCAACTAATTTAAAACAATTTCTTTATGCAGCAAGTTTGCCAATTTTGGAATTCTACATTTCTTTATGTGCCGCAGTTAGGAAAAATTTCCTTATCGTTACAAGCTCTCTAAAGTTTGTAAGAAATAAATTGGGCTTTGAGAGGTTATTGGCTAAATTGGTAACAGCATATGAGACAAATTATTGGCTATTCTGGAAAGGTCAGAAACTACCTAATTTTTAAACAATGATTTAAAACAGCCTATCAGTAACTATCAGTAATTATGACATAAAATATCAAAATTAAGTTGCATCATCTTATGTTAGTTAGAGCTATTATTAAAAGCAAATTGGATAATTTTTAAGGATTCAAAAATCACAGGTAATGTATTCTCAATGAGAAACTGAATAACCAAATATACCTGAAAATTCTAATTGGCTGGTAAAGAAAAAAAAAAATGGCCCTATGAAAAAAGAAATACACCCATGAAAATTTAAGGTTACCAAGTCAATTTTTGAATTTTCTGGAAAGCATTCAAAACAGATTTTTCCACAATTTTATGAAAGGTTTGGAAATTCAAAATTCTAGGCTGTTAAATGCAGTTCAAATGTCTGCACAAACCACAGACACATATGGAGTAAGTTTTTATACCACTGAGATAATTTGTATCATTGAGTTGTAGTAATATAAATAATGTCTGAAAGAGATAGCTAGTGAGCAGGATATCTTGTAAGTTCTTCTTAAGGATGGTTATGGTAATGACCAGTCTATGAAGCACAACACAGTCAGTCTGCCTGAGCACAGTGCCTACATTCCCACATGCATACTAGCCTTTTCCATTTTGATGACCAAGTTCAACATATCAAAAGTGAACTTCTTGGGCCTCCCTGGTGGCACAAGGGGTTAAACACCGCACTGTGAAGCAATCTGCAGCCTCTGAGCACGAGTTCAATCCCCCAAGTGGCCAGGGAGCAACCCACATGGCCCAGCAGACCTCTCCTGACTCACCCACTGCTCCGCTCAGCAGTGTATTTCAGTCAGCCTGCCCGTTCTGTTCTCCACTCTGTCTCTGGTGAATCCTCTCACCCCCCCCTGTATCTCTGGCCTGTACCCCAGCTCTTATATGCATAATTTTTTTTAAGTGAACTTCTTACCTGGCTATCCTTAACTTCCCTTCTTGTTGTCTCTTATTTCATTGACAGCATGTAATTATGTAAGTCAGAATTGTTTCATCTTTCTTTTTTGTCTTCTTCCACATTCATTTCAATACCAAATAAGATTGATTATATCTGTGAAATGTTTTCTCCATCTGTCCTATCCTTTTCAATTTTTGAGGTAATTTTTTTTTCTTAACATTTTTCTCTTATATTCTTACTAGTTTTCCTCTTTTATTCTATTACCCTAACATTTCCTAGAGTTTTAATAAATACAAATCTGACTACAGCATCTGCTGACCTGTCTAAATGGCTTTCAACCAGGGAAGTATGCCCAAGAAATTCCTTAAAAAATTAATCTGAGCTCTCACTATTTCTTTTATTTTGAAAATGCAACTTTCCTCCAACTCTTTTATTTGCCCCAAATCTATTCATTCTAAAATGTCTACCTTAATTTAAAATATAACAGAGAAAGCTATAAAAATTCCCTAGTGGATACAGAAGGATGTTACTCTTTGTGAAATACCCTAAATCATTGTTAGAGGATGGTGTTCAATGCAGATACTGTGGCATGTTGCCAAAAATAAAATAGCATATGATCCCCTCTTTATGGCAAACTGAAGTGCTCTGGCACTACCAATGCTACCCTGTATTTTTAAATTCCTCATAGAAGAGACCTTCACCAAGAACTTATAGGGTCATTTTTAGAGAGAGATTATGGCATTTTCCTTATCCTATTCAGATTTTCATAAGCTGTCATACTATAGTTATCAATTATATCAATTCATGTTTCAGACTTCTTGGTAACAAAAAGTTCAACATTAGTCACTATGTCTCACCTTCATTACAGCAAGCGTGCAGTAAGTCCAGCTGTCGTTATGCTTCAGATCAGCTAAATACCTTTGAGATATATTCTTCAACCCAGACAATTGAAGGGAAAAATACTGTCTTGTCCTTTACTATTCACTCAATGTTAGTTTTGAGTTAAACATATGGCAGATTTTGAATTTTTCTATTTCTCCTTCTCTGACTATTTAAAATTACACCTTGAGGCCTTATATAATTAATATGACATTATTTTCCCTTAGTAAACATTTTTTTTCTTTCTTACTATAACATGTGCACATTATCTCTCTGAACAAACAATTCAACTTCCTCTTTTTTAGAGGTGGGGAAATCAATGCTTAGGTAACATGTCATGCCACACAGCACATTTTTGGGCTACATTAGGAAAAGCAGCACTCTGAAAAGCTATGGACTTTTAAGGAATTCCCTTCTGAAAATAGTAACTAAAACTCAAATATGATAACCTCAGTGGAAAGAAATTTTGGCTGGCTATTTCCATGTATTGGCTAAATAGGAAACTGGACAGAGCAGGGATAAGTTGTGAATAGAAGACATGAGCCAGAGAATTTATGTTCAGCATTGGTTCTGTAAAAGCTCTCTTTGGCCCTCTGTCTCCCACTCAGT